TGGTTGAAATTCTAGCTGCTATCGTTTGGTTGAGCGGGATTGATGGAATTCGAAGAAAGTTTTTCCTCGAAAAAGTTGTGTGTGACGCAAAAGTGGATGTGACCCTAAGAACGCACATGATCGTTTAGAGCTAGCATCGTAGATGCAGAAACTAGCGCCCCGTTCAAGGTGGCATTGCTATGCAGTATTATGCACTTCGTGTATGTAGTAAGTCAGTTGGTTGAAGCCTTAGTGGGAATCGTAGGCATTTTTCTATGTGCGAGGACCCACAAGCCTCTTCTCGTTTCATGCGTAATCGCTGACTGTCCCTCGAGGCAAGATTCCTATATAAGACGCACCATCCGCCCCTAACTCTTTCACAGCATTCTATCACCATCTTCTTTATCATCATGTCAAACCGCTATAATATGGACTTCAGCACCTTCTATATGGACATCTGCCAACTACTCAATATCGAACCGAACTTTACTTTGAAATGTATTGGAACCACCTCAAAGAATACGACATGTCCCAACCAAATTTCAGAAATAAACCTCGTAGGGGGGCATACAGCACTCCATGCACTTAAACGCATTGAATCAATCGATCAGCTCTGGAATTTGCTTCAGTTTATCTCGGGCAGACTACTCTGCTTTCACCACCGCGATCAACAAGATATATTACAGGAGCAGTGGTGGTTGACACTTCTCGCTCTTTCCTCAAGCAGAAACCTTTGGGCAGAGTTTCAAGTGCCGGGGGCCTTTCCAGAAGAGGACCAGAATATTCTGGCATCAATCTTAGAGCTTTCGAGGCTTGAGGTTGACACATTTTTCCAGTGGCGAGATGAGCAAGCGAAGCTGGCAGAGGCAAAACGGGCGCAGGCGATACAGGCAAAACGAGCAGCAAAACTGCTGGCAAGAGAAGAGGCGGCAAATAAGCGGGATTACGAAATGGCACGGTTACTTTGTGGAATTGGAAGGAGTGCTGATTACCTATACGACCGGATTGAAATTCGCTGCGACAAGGCAGAACGCAGGAAACTACGAAGTACAAGGGCTCACTGGTAGTGGAAGTTGAGGAGGGGTTTGAGGAGGCAGTCGAGAATGCAGTTGAGGAGTTTGAGGAAGAGGGGGTTGGAGTCCGGACTTGTTCTTCACGGGAACGAATGTATTCTAACCCATATCTATATTATATATGTCGGTAGAGGGAGGCTACCATATAATACAAATCTATCTAAGCTTGATCCGTGGCATACTAACTTCAGTCTTGAGATCTGTGGATGAAGTATTTTGATATCTGACTTGAATGGTCCAAAGCTAGAATTCAAGTTAGCAAGACATAGGGGTATCGCGTTTGATCTCTCACCTCGAGAACCATCCGGTTGTGAGAGTCAAAACAAGCAGTGGAGTACGCAGACAGTTAGAACAACCAGTGTTCTATTGCAAGTCAGAATAATCGATGCCTCCCCTTCGTCCCTTCGGTCCTTCTCCTGGTTATATACGTCTGCATCCCTTGAGTACTCCTTTCTATCCCTACATTCCCTCAAACTATCCACAGAATGAAGGGTGCTGCCTCGGTTGCGGGTTGCCGTCGGGCTACTTTCGTACGTCCCTCGTCCCGCCCAGATTCCTCGCTTGCCACGCCCTTGGTTTACCCAACCCCTTAATCCAAGTACCTCACACCGGTTGACATGTCTTCTTCCGCTGGCTACCCACAAGATACGAGAGCTATAGCGTAAGGAGATCAGCAGTGTGTCTCGAAGCTAAATAACGAAGGGATAGAATGCATTTGCGTAAGTCATCGCCTAAATATATCTTATCTTGTAATTAACTGCGCCAACAACCTTAAACCTAACGATGATGTTGCATGGGGTATGTGCCTTCGTACCTCTTAAAAACAAGCTAACCGAATACTGCGAGGGCTACAAAAATATAATGAATTTCAGCTAAGCGAGGATGAGTAGTGCTACGTAGTACTACCCCTGAAACTTTTGCTTCTACTTGGCCATTTTAGCTTCGCGAGCTACGTAGTATCCCTTAAAGTTAACCTTCCATGCTTTACCGCCATCTTATTCTACACGTATACGTTTCCTACCCGTGTCTTCGTTGCTAGTGTTGAAAGTTTCCTGATCAAGTGCCCTTTCCAAACTATCCTTCTGCGCCTTCATACTAGTATAATTTTCCTCTACCTGGCTAAGTGCTTCTCGTAGGTCCTCGATCTTAACTATTTCAGGTTATCAAACTGTAAAAGTTAATAAGGGAGCGTTTGTATACCTTGAAGCTTCTCATTCTCTCCTTGAAGCCAGCTTATATACCCTTCACATCTAATTAGCCAGAGGTAAAAATGGGAATAAGTTATGAAACTTACCACGTATAAAATCCCCGGATTGGAAGACGTCTTGATTCTCTTGTTGCCGGCTTATTTTGAAATGGCCAACATTTGCTTGTAGTTCTCTAACAAGTTCTAAGGTAGATAGTCAGATGAAGAACTGGCTTGAGATACGCTGAAAACTTACGAATCAACCCCCGTGTTATGCTAGGCAGAAACTTGACCATTTCCGTAGGAATATAACCATAGCCAGGAGTCTCTCCTGCCATTTTTCTAAACATTTGATCGAGTTCTCTAGGGTTAATAATATTCAGAGTAGGATATCCGGAAAACTTACCACGAAGCTGGGTAACTCGAGCATCTTCGCCAGGGTACTGTGTACAGCTTACTAGATCGATGGGGATTTCGACTGGTACGGATTCCTCAGGACCCTGTGTACACCTGCACAAAGTTAGTATGACTACTGTAGAAAGCCGATTTTTGCAAAGATAACTAACTCTTTGTTGGTGACTGATGTAGCCTGAGAGATTGACTTAGTAGGATTCTTTTTTATCAGCATTCAATTTCCCAGCTTTAATGGTCTTAACTCACGTAGAAACTGTGTCCTTCTGGGATAGGCCCAGCCTGGGACAGAGGTGGCGCGCTCATGTTGTAAGGAAAGGGAGTAGGATGAAGGGATATTGAATTTGAATGTGATATGATGAAGGAAGTGTGCCGGCTCAGGTGCTCTTTATATCTTCCAGGTACCTTGTCTCGACACAGCCGAACTTGCCGTGTTTGTCCAGGCTAAAGTGGGTTATTGGTTAGCTGCGAGGGGTTGTCGAAGCTAAAGGCTCTATCTACACAAATCTGCCTCGCTCAAAAACATTGGCGCTGTCAAGGGGCAAGGTTGTTGCGTGATTTCTTGTTCCACGTCATCACATGAGATAGAATTCATTAGGTGGGGATGTACCTGAGCCATGTTCCCCAGTTGCAATACCCTCAACCATTCTTGCCTTGACAATCTCCTCAGAGGATGGCAGATCATATCCCCTGCTTGCAGTAGCCCCGTTATCTTCCTTCTTCCTCGGCTGCTAGGGCAGTTGTATGACAGTAATATTCACGCCAATGACTTGTAAAATTCCTGGTTTCCATTTCTTCAACATTCTTAGGATCTTTGTATGACTGCTGGAGGAGTTCGCTTATTTAATCCGCTTACGTGACACCTATTTCCGGGCTTTGTTATATAAATACTTGATTATTATGAGTTCTTGCTAGCAGGAACTGTTACGATAGAAGACTGTGATGCCACGTATACTCGAGGCCTACCAACTTTGACCACGCATCAAAATTCGAGGCCAAACTTACCAAGAAAGCGTGAGCCTTGCACCTGCGGCAATCCCGGCTCTGAGACCAAAAGCTGAATACCCTCTCCTGGCCATTCACCTTCATTTTCAGGGTTGGAGTGTGGGTATTGGAGCATACCAGCTCAGCTCTGTTTCATCTGCGGTGTTGATAGGGCCGTTATAACTGAGTCTGGGAAGGAACGCCCATCATCCCCTCTAGGACTTCCACCAACTTGATTGACTAGACTTGCGAAGTACATAGAAGTGTGGAGTCGTCATACGTATGAGAAATGGGTGCAACACGAATTCGGGAGATCCTTCAGAATCTTGCAATGGCGTTGTGATTTATTGTTTCGTGAATGCCGCTGTAATAAGACAGTGTTGTCCACCTTCCTGCCTCCATTCCTCCTGCTGTTCCCTTGGGAGCTTGTTAATTCAAATTATCCGATGTTTTGTCTAGTCAATATTGTGTTCTATGATGATCTTTCAAACCTTCGTGTACTTCCAACGTCAATTTCTTGCCCAGTTGTGTGTAATAGTGGTAGTGTAAGATCATTACAACTACTCCCAAAATTAAAACAATCAAATAAGCATCAGCTAGATACAGCGTTGCTAGATTAGGCTTGGAGTCGAAGGAAAAACCCAAAAGTTTAATTCTGAAATAAGTATGAGCAGCGTCGCTAGATTGGGCTTGGACTCGAATCAAAACCTAAAAGTTTAATTCTTAAATAAGCATGGGCTGCATACAGCGTCGCTAGATTAGGTTTAGACCGAATTAGAAGCCGAAAAGTGTAACGCTTAAATAAGTATGAGCTCGACACAGCATTTCTTGATTAAGCTTAGACTCGAATGGAAAGCCTAAAAATTGTGACTCTTAAATAAGGGTTGGCTGGATATGGTGTCGCTTAACTGTTATGGTGGGGATCAAGGAATAGATTGTTCGCAAGGAGGGAAGAGAGAAGCTCTTCACAGTCCTTAGGTATTTGTCTATCTACGGAAGAATACACCCGCAACTTCACTAAGCGAACCCTTATTTACTGATTTGAAAACTGTCACAGGAATAGCTTTTTAAAGAATTATATTGAGGTGTAAATTGTTACTTCAACTTGGAAAATATCTTTCGAAGTCAAGAAGGTCGTTTCTCGCTCTCTTTTTCTGCTTTAAGCTGCCTACTTTGGAGTTGTGGATCCAATTTATAGACTGCTCCTGTTTTTGTTATTATTATATTAAAGGAACTCAATAGGAATGCGGGGGTTCATACCCTTACAACTTGAACTACCTAAAGATGATAGATTTTGCCTCACAGCCTTAGACCTGATATGATCTGGTCCAAGGGCCTTCTCACGGCCTTGCAACGCCCGCTGGTACATCTGCTCGGCCTCCACCAGCTTGCCTTGATC